TCAGCGAGAGAGAGGAGGAAGGGGTAGGGTCTTGAGGATATGGAATGTGATCCTTCCGAGAGGTGTTTTAAGGGCGATAGAGCCGAGGATAGAATGGCTTCGCCGTTGCCGAATTTGATAGAAGCTTGGCCTGCTGTAGTCTTATCGAGCGTTATAGCAGGGTCTTCTCGTTGTAGAGCGATGCATTGGTCGTAGCCAGCTGTGGAAACCTTCGCGGCGCCTGTGTCAATTATGATGCCCTGGAATCGGGTCTTGAGTAGCGCTCCTCTATCATGAATTGGGAAGCAGGTGTAGCGTTGTTTTGAGAGGTGCTATACACGTCTTCCCCTGTGATCAGATGGTTGAAGGCTTGCTGGCAGAGCATTTGGCTTGTGTGCCACTGTTCTGGGTTGTTGTCATTATCTTCATTGTCGTCCTCGTCCCAGGGTCGTTAGCATCATCGTGGGCATCCATCTCGTGACCTTCAAAGTCAAGAACGTAGGCTGTAAGGTCCTGGGAGGGTAATCCTATGAAGTGACAGTGGGCGACGTATTGGTCTCGGGATCTTTGACGTTCCTCGGCAGTGTGCTTTGTAGACCAACATCCTTCCTTATTGCAGACGAAGCACTTCTTATTCCACGGGTGGTTGTGGCCGTAACGGCCTTGTGGCCGGTTAAAGCGTTGACTATTGAAGCTTCCCCGTGGAGCGTTGTAGCTGCCTCGTTGAGCGTTGCCTCTATACCTTCTATACCCCTTCTGACCAAATCTTCCGCGATTGTTGTTGTATCTTCGATCGAGATAGTAGTGGTCATTGGGATCCATATGATCAGATGGTTCCTCGAGGTCTTGATGGTATTGAGGGCCTCCTTGAAGATAACGAGGCGCTATTCCGCGTGCAAGATGGGTCTCAACGGAAGAGCGAAGATCTGCAAAAGGGCTCGATTCCTTCGGCGGGCTTGAATAAAGCGTATTCAAGTTCAGGAACACCGCGGCATGCATTAATAAGCGTTGTACGCAGTGGAACGTTTCCTGCATACGCGTTGCCAAGAGCTCGTTGGCATAACTGTAGCTTATCAAGGAGTAGCTGAAGAACCTCGTGTAGGGATTTCGTAGCATTATCGGCACGGAGCTTGTTAAAGGAAATAGTCGTCCATTCAGTATAGTAGTGAACGTGGTTAACTTCCGTATCGAAATGTTGCTTGATGCTATCGTATGCCTTGCGGAACGTTGAGGTCCAGTTAATGTGGTCAATGTAGTACGTTTGGGCTCGGCCAGTAAGGATTCGAGGAAAAGAGCGTGGAATTGGTCCGGCTTGACCTGAATGTTATAACAGATACTCATAAAGATGCGTAGCTTATCATCGAGAAGGTCATAGGGTTCCCCCGTATAGTTCTTCTCTTTGTCCCAGATCTTGGTGAATTTCTGTTGTGTGTTGGCATCGACGATGCCGTTCGGGATGTCGGGGGGAAGCGTTGTGTACGCTTCGAGGATGTGGGAGAAGAGGGTTCTGCTAGAACGATGCTCTGTTGCTGGAACTGATAGCTTGTAGGATGTATTGTTCGTTGGGAAGCGTAGCAGTCGTTGTGGGCGGTTCCGCAATTGTCGTAGCGGAGGAGCAGGAGCGTCGGAATAGGGGCTAACGGCATGGATGGCTCCGCCGTGTTGGAGGTGGGAGGGTTCTGCGTTAGTCGTCTCTCTTTTCTTGTATAGGCCTCCGTTCCTTTATCGAATTGGGTTACCATGAATTCGTTGTCGGGCCAGGCTGGTGGGTTATCGATCGTCTGTAGGAAGACGAGCTGTGGGATGATGTGGTCACCCTTTTCTCCTGTATAGATACCACGTCTCTTTAAAAGGTAACGTAGCTCCCTTCGAAATTCCTTTGGCATCTTTCTCCACGTTGCCTCGGTCCACTGTTGGAAGTGATCCTGGAAGAATTCAAGGATATTAGTGCCATGAAGGTGTACGTTCTCCTCGCATTCTGACATAAATCGTGCGGTATATGTCATAACAGCTATTCTATCTTCCTCTTGGGCGTGATCTCATCCTCCCATCGGGTCGGATCGATATCCTGATATTGGGTCTTTGGGATCGTGAGATTTTGGACCAATTCCTTACTTGGTCGAGGAAGGCGTCGTTCCTCGTAGAGGCGGGGTTCGGGGTTGGGGTCGTGCTTGTCATCGTGAGGGTTGTCACGTAGTTGTCGAATCGTGAGGGCTGTCACGTAGTTGTCGAATCGGCGTTGTGGACGCACTTACACTTAATGTAACCGTTAAGTGAAGTTGGAAGGATCTATCAATGGCCTACCGGGAGCTAGTTGGTTGCCGGGTCCGGGTAATCGTAGAGTCCTTGATCTTAGCATAGAAACCTCCTCTAGGTCCAACCAGGGCAATATCGCTAGGAATATGGTAGTTGGGCTTTCGAAGGTTGCGTTCTATCTCTTCTTCCTTGCCAATCTGTGATCGACCAAATCGATCACTGATCAGTGTCAGGAGGTCTGTACTGCAGTAACGCAATGGGTTGTATTCAAGATGTCTAGCTAGGAAGGGAGGAAGGGAATGAGGGGGCACACTACGTGCCCTTTATACACGGATCCCCGAGGTCCATACACGTGACGCTAAGGGTCACGTGTGCGTGTGTGCGCACCTCCCTTACAATCCTACTATAGCTATATGCTACATTCCCACAAAGATGCTCTCTGCAGATGCTTATTACTGAGCCTTGTAATGATGATCTGTGGCGACCCCACGCGTCACTCTGCCCCGCGTTTTCTTATTAACAGATCTGGGGACGCTGAGCCTGAGCACCGCTATACGGTGTGTTCGGGTTTTGCGACTTCAATAGAAGAATGTAGACCAACCTCAAGGTATTTGTGGCTGTTATCAGTGTGATTTATCCGTACCTCCCGCCATATTGGCTCTATGCCTACAACTACCATAGACCGTCGAGGTACGTACATGCAGCACATCGTCCAACTCTCCCTGTAAAAATTCTGTCCCTGGAGGCTGTTAGCGGCTTGCTAGCTGGGGTCAGATTTACAGCGCTTCAGCTGCGGGGTCCATCGTGGCCCTAACAGCACAGAGGAAAACCTTAGGAGAGTTCATATTCCTCTGCGAAGCCGGTCTCGACAACACGTCCACTCGGACCTCATGGCTCTCTTCGGAACCAAGGAGCTGTGGGTATTGGAAGGTCCGCCCTTCTAAACAACGGTGGCTGGTCGCGGAGGTTTTTCTCCCTGAAGGCAAGCTGCGCGACAGCCTCTGATTCCTTCTGAGGGGGTTTCCCTACCGCCGCTCCTCGCTAAGTCCATCGCTTGGTTACCGGAGCATGGACTGCGGCAGCAGTCTTAGCAGCGAGCGAGATAATCCTGACCAGGAAAACCAAGGGTTGACCATTGTGGCAATTGCCACGCGCCTGGAAGTCGCGCTGACGGGAGACAGGCTTCGACAAGGAGCGCCAAAGAGCCTACGAAATGCTGGATGGACATTTGGGAGGACTGGCCGCGGGGGCTCTGGTCACTTGTATTGACGTTGTATTGACGTGCTCAGCGACAACCTACCGTCGGGCGTAGAGAGCCGCCTCCAGGGATCCACCTCGACAGCTTGCCTTTGCGAGGCCTTGCAGGGAGTACTGGGTGCCCTTTCGGTGGCAGGAATTTTAGATAGTCTAGCTCAGCACGTCCTGTGCCCCGTCTCGGGGACCTGAGCGGCCTGAAGGCCGCTGGACAAAAAATACACACATGTCAAGTTCTCAACGTGTTACCCAGCCTCAAAGCACTGGCTGGTGTTATACTCAGGGAAGGGATGCCTGGCTTTTGAAACAAATTTTGGGATCATCTCGTCACGGAACAGGCTGTTTGGATAGTTGCTTCTGTAGGGCTCGTGACATCGAAAGAGCTACCATCAGAGGACGACCACTTCGGAGTTCAAATCCTCTCAATTTCAGTCGAATTCTGCGAATAGTTGCTCGCTGCAGGAAGCTATTTTCGCGATGTCAATATGTGAGCGGACGTCAAGAACGAGAGTCTTAATATGCTTGTGTTGGGTCATACAATCTGGAGGCATTTCGTTCTTGGCATTACCGGACGATTCGAAGTGTGTCGGTGAAAGTGGAAGAAGTGGGAAAATTCCCGCGACCAGCGGCGGGGTCGCTACTCTACCCATCGTCCAAAGGCCAGCCAGCCGCTGTCGAATCGAGTTGACAAAGTGCCGGATACCTAGAGAACCGAGCGCTGTGCGACAGGTAAATGCTCGTGCTTTCAAGTTCCAATACGAGAAAATGCACACATGCGTTTTCGCCCCCCATACAGTATCGGTCACCATCCGAGCCCTTCCGCACAGAAGCCAAGTCGGCGGATTATGGCCGAGACAGCAAACCAACAGAACTTATCGCAAGACCGCCGAGTATATCCCTTAGTTGGGAAGCAAACAGCAGTGGTGGAGTGCACCCCCTATGCAGCTCCCAGGGTGTGCCAGCCGCTACACCAACGGCCCCAGCAGACCTGTGGAGATTTCCCTTACCCAGGAGGCCACGGGGGACTAAAGACGTGATTGCGACTGTGTTCGACCGTCCGACCTCCGTGCTGCGATATGCCAGTCCGCATTATTTGTTTCGGGAGCTTCGGGTAGTTTGGTGCTGTCTGAATTCATCAAGTTAAAGAGAATTACACTATGCGGTTCCGCTGGTTGGGCTAGGTCCTCACACCTCAAGAATCAAGGCTGACCAACTGCAGGGCATACCCACCTTGGTTCCCACCCCCCCACAAACCTATCGGATATTCGGACCAGATTGCCGCTGGCAGGTGCAGCACATTTGAACGCTGGAGCCTGAAAGATGTGGACAAGCGCGAAGTGTTTGCTTGTAACAGTACATCAATACCATGCTACTGTACCATGTGGCCATTCTCTCCAGAGACCAAACCGCAATAAATACCATGTTTCGTCGCGTGCTCAATTTCTACGTTCCATACTTGGTCCGCACCATCATAATAAGTCCGAACCTCAATTCATCACGTCTTGTTGATCATGGCTATGACGATTCCGTCCAGTTCTCGCATCTTTCAACAAATCGAAGATATACAAATTCGAATTTCACAGTGCGAGCAAGAATTAAAGTCCCACAAGTCACCACGATTCGAGTATGAGGAGAGACTGACCGATGTCAACACCCGCATTGATGAGGCTTGGGAACGTCTGTTTTCAGGTCAAAGCCCGATCGATCGTTCCGAGCTCCAGAGCAAGATTCTGAATTATGGCCGTGAGTTGGAGAGGATTGAAAGTGAACATAAAGAGGGCCTCGAGGGTGCAGAGGCTTCTTACCAGCGTCGTATCGATGCTGTTTGGAAAGACTCTTGCAAAGGGCTTATCGCAGTATTGGAATCTATGCTGCTTCCAAATACACCGCAAGAAGCAGAAGACAGGGAGCTCCAGCAAACACTTCCGAATGGGTCAACTAGAGATCAGCCGAAAGGCTCTCAACCGGCAACACCCGTCGAATCAGTTGGGCGTCGTGGGCCTCCTGGGGCCTTGCACGGAGACCACTGACACCTGCGGCAAAAGCAACAGGGTAAGTTGCCCATGCCCGACCGAAAGGACTATATTGACGAATCAAGCCTAAACGAAGGCTCGATAGGATGATTCAGCCGCAGTGGAAGAGGCGACGAATCACTGAGAGCCAAGAGCGGCATAGTGACGATTCACTGAACGAGAATGACGGGCAGTTGCAGGATGATATAGCCAGATCTCTCACCCTGGCGAAGTCTACCTTGCTTTCAAATCCGACGCCTGGTCGCCAGTACTTCTCTTGCCCACAGACAATTTGCACGATGTTGGCCTTCCAATTACAATCGAGGCATTGGGTCTGACGAAAAACGTCCCGCACTGTTATGAGTACGACCGGGAAGAAAAGCTTTCGATGGCGAAAGGAGTACGAGGGTGGCGGACGTCTTTTCGCAGAGCGGCAATACCCCATCATATTTTTTGATTGCTTGGATTTTCCGGAGAGAAGCTCAGTCGGCTGGGTCGCTGCCAGAGACCTCCGAAGCTTCGACTTAATGGATGCCAATATTGACAAGCGCATCAAACACGTCGGGCGGGTTCGCCAGTTTGTCAATGAGCGGGAAAAGTCACGAGCAAAGGATAAGGATGATGCATCTGCCTCTCAACGAGCAAGGTCTGTTGATGGTGAGTCCCTGGTCTTGATGAGAAAACCCCAATTCTAACACACTATTCCCAGGTGACGATACTAGGAGCTTAGGGGCTTTCCGTCTGACGCCCAAAACCAGCTGCGGAGATCAATCTCAGTCAGGTGAAATCGGATTATGCGCGGCCAAAAAGGACCCGAAGGTCTCAATCGACGGGGAATGCTCAACTGACGATTCGGAACCAAGACTTGGGTGCGATCCCAATCGAGAAACAGCGAGCTGCCCCCAATCTGAGCAGGATCGCGATGGCGACCGCCCCAAGGAGGACTTCGGTCTTGCACCTCATTCGAAGGCTCCCATATCAACTATGGGTTCGACCTCAGGATCTGACGATGGTACTCCATGCAGCGAAGGGATTACGAGGTCACGCCTGCAGGATCATCTTGCTTCTGATACTACGATTATAGTGCGCGATGAGCGGCCACCAAACACTGCCCAAGACGGACCTGAGCAAATTTTGTTGGACCACGGTACGTCGGTGTCGCACTGGGAAAAAACAAGGAGACTCTGACTAGATACTAGACGAAGCTAGAACTGCGACGCCTCAACACCATTCGAAGGCGACGGCCGATGCGCAGAATTCGTCACGCTTCTACGAAATCCTGGATGTTGAGCCTAACAGCGAGCGAAGCTCAACCCAATGGGCCGGACGTGGGACGCCAACTTGAGGGTGTTGGCGCTAATGATTGTCTGCCTCATACAAACTCTCAGACTGCTACTGCACCTACATCCACGTCAGATTTGGATGATTGTGAATACGAGAAACAAGCTCTTCAACCCGAAGACATGGATAAACTTTGCAGTGACGGGTTGCGATTGGCTACTGCGACGCGGACGTCTCAAGGTTTCCTTCAACTAGCGACAAATCGGGAAGGACTGGCATTACGCGCACACCTTACAAACGTTGAGACCCACTATTTTCAGGTACCAGCAAGCTAAGTTTGTGACCCAGACACGGGACAATGGCGACGAACAGTCTGGAGACGTAAATCAGTGTTTGCGGCTGCGAGACAACGCGGCTCTGCGGCGCCATGAAGACTCGCTGGCATTCCTGGACGGACCTGACTCTAGTGAGTACACAGTCAGCCTCGTCAGATCTCAAATCATTGATATGGGGCGACTGACACGTACACCGCTATATATGTTATGGCAGTGACGCAGCAACCTAACTATTCGATGACGTCCAGATTTAATGGATGGCCCCAACTTCTCCACAGAATCTTCTTACGGAATTGACTCAAGTCTCAGGGTGGAAGATCCTGGCCCACATGTATTCATGGATCGTTACAAAATGTATTGTTGCCCCTTGAGTTGTGATAATAAGTGGCGATATTTGGCCTGGTTTACGAAGCATTTGCTGCGTCATCACTCCGAAATACAGTAGATGCTGTCTAGCTGTTTTTACTGCACATTGCTAAACTTCCATTGATTGAAATATGCCACATCAGCCATGCTAGCAGCGGTGCTGTTGTGATGTGCATCTCACTTTTGGCTGGGTGGTCCATGCGACAAAGTTCTCTGCGGACTACTATGCCCTGCTCTACCAGCTGCAGATTATCTTGGATGATAATAAGTCCGCCTTACGACGAAGAGATATAGCCGCCAAGTGTAAGTGAGAAGATAAGAGAAGAGAAAGAGGTGGAAGATGTGGGGTGCTTGGCGACTGATAGTAGACGTCAACCCCAAGAACCGGTATTAAGGCAAGTTCGCCCTGCCGCCTGGAAGTGGGAAGTTGTTGGAGTGATGCTGTACAATAAGTAAGTCCTGTCGATACTTCTCACCTTGGGAGCATTTCGGCGTTTTCGTATGGGATGGAGACGCCAACGATCTGACCTGCCCGCCAGGGCGGCCACGATTATCTCACGGAGGATGAGCCGAGCAAGCATGAAGATCGGGGACTGAAGAACTCTTGATTCTATATATAAGTGATAGTGAGAAGTTGGCTTCTTATACTTGTGACGTTGGGTTGAGTGCCGATATCGCCACTCAGGCAGCCTAGATGACGATGTCATCTAGAAGGTTCGAATCCATCACTAATATGGCAGTACGAACAGCCACGACCTAAAATATGGGCCAGCTGTGCGAATATGGAAATCAGATTGTTGGAGGCTGATACATCCTGTGTGACAATGTTCATTATCTGGTTAAACGGAGACAATGAGGAAGGCTACCCCATCGAAGTCTTCAATGAACGCGGCTGTAGGGTTCAGTCGACTTACGTTTCAGCAAGTAGAAGCGCTATGCCGTTACGTGTGCTTCGTCTCCTACATAGAACAACGACCTTGGTGCCCGAGCCTGTCCGAATCTCACGTTAATGCTAAACAGTAGCGCAAATGCCGAGGCCTCCAGCCCCGACACCAGTTGGAGAAATCGTTCCGTGGTATCAGACAATAAATGGCGAGCGACCCGACGATGAGTCGATGACCCGGCATACTGTACCAGTACCACCCATAGGTTCTCGCACCTCGTGATGATCCTAGGGGTGAGTCCCCATGTGTTCTCGCCGTGCGGTGATCAAGCCGACAGACGGGATGCGGCGGTGCGAGAAGTGGATTTTGGATGCGACAAGACAGCAGCAGGATCGCAGCTTGTCTCGCAACACCTTCTCAAAAAGCCGCCCCACTGCAGCCGGTACGGGATCCTTACACCATCTTCTACAGATAATGATTGCCGGACCTACAGAGTTCTTGTCCCTCACGTATTGCAACGTCGGGGGCGGCGGGGTAAAACCGTCTTGGGTCCCTTACAATGCCGTTTTACAAGCCGTCAAACCACACCCAAACAGGCACTAAATGTCTTGAAGTTCCGGCAAGTCGCTGCGCAACAGCCGGAAGGCCTCCTCCCCCGACCATCTTTTTTGGAGTAGTGGTGTCGTTACGGTACAGTGAGGCTCAGGTGCACAGCACCGAGTTTTAGTGCCCACTAAACTCGGAATTAAATCCTACGCTGTTGCTCTCACGAAGAAAGTTTGCAGAAAGGGCATTCTGTGTAGTTTCATTGTATTCCTTGTCTCTCTCCTTCTCCCTTTCTGGCTTAAACCCAAGCCCCTATTTATATCCCTCTTTCGTAGTAAAGGTAATGTGTTCAGGGAGGCTGGGGACCTGGGGGTCCCCAGCCTCTCGACTGGAGATGTTCCAGTCTTTTAAGAGGAGCTTTCCAGCCTCCTCGTTCAGACCTGGTTATCAGCTCCCTTGCTGCCCTAGCTACCCATGGGTGACCTGGTTGACTCGACCATGGGCCGTTCTTCGCGACAGTTGCAGGGCCTTATGTAATTGTCAACTGCGTGAGTTTTGCAAGAAAATTGGCCAAACCGAAATGCCATTCTGTCGGGATGGATGCCACACTTGACGAGGGCATGAGCGTATCATTGGTAAGTCAACACACTGCAGCCAAGACCTGCTACAGGCGATGAACGCCACTCGTAGCGAAGCTCCAGAACACAATGCTCAGAATTTCTTTACGTATTACTTCGTGAATTCGGAAGGAGGTCAATTTGTGAGTACCTACCAGCCCACGGCATTCCATGTTGTGATGTCCAGCCAAGAGTGGTCTACGCGACGGCATCCATAAAAAAAATTAGCCAAAGTTAGCTGTTGATGTCGAGAAGAAGGTCCGAACGAGTTGACGTCTCTAGGTCTCTCTAGGTAATACAGCTTGAAACCAGGTAAGAAGGAAGTCTGCAGACTGTTATTTATTCTTCCTAGACCACTGAGGGTCCGGAGGATCTCCTATTCGAACAGGGACCCTTGAGGAGTCCGGCATAACTATCACTGGCTCGGGGACCTCGAGAGACTGAACTATCGATCCAAAAGCTAGCAGAGCTATTTGATCGGGGAGATGGAGCTGATGTTGCTGACGTAGATGACTTACGTGGCCTTCAGTAAGTGGCAAGAAGTGCCCTCTTCCTGATAGAATGTATACTATACCTGAAAACGGGATATCAACTTGGGAGAAGCTTGGAGGGATACAAAAGGGGCTGTTTGGACGGGAAAAGGGCAACTGGGGCAGAGCAATCAACACATGCACATCACAGACTATCAGATCATCTGGGAATCTACCTACGAAATGTCCCTTTATTCACTTTTATGCCCACTTTTGATCTCTCCTTCGCGAGAGTTGATCTACACTTCTTGGTACGACATACGACCCATCCAGTGATGAGACGAATGAGTGCCTAAGCCCAAATATATTTGAGAACAGGGGCGAGATTAAGCACAAAAGACATAACTTGCAGCTCATCTAGATTGAACATATAGATCTTCACGTACGAAGCGACCGTGGTTAAATGGAAAATAGTATTTCTTCCGCTGGATTTGCGCAGCTTCGTCAAAAGGAGTCGCAGCGGGCAACTACTCGAGTCGCCCCAATGAAGACAGCGCACATTCAAATACCCGACAGTGTCTTGCGACTGGCTCATGCTAGACGTCGAGTTTTTGTCATGTATGAGACCGATAAGAGAATTCGGTCTAGTAAAGACGACAGAAGGAAGCAAGCAAGAGCTCGAATGTCTCGAAGGGAGAGTCACCCACAAAGCGGGAGCTTCGCAGCCGAGGTCGAAAAAGCAGAAGCCACACTTCGGCTAACATCGTGGTTCCTCTCCGCTCTAGCGAGCCGGGAAAACGCATGTTCAGTGGTGGCACAGGAAAGCGACAGAAGCAGGCACGAGGCTGAAGAGGCAATTTCCAAGTGTAAACAAGAAACGATAGAAGCAATACGAACCTTTGTGTAGGATTTTCCGAACATGATGCTTAACTCTTAGTCTACCGGTATGCCTCTGTTTTGCATACTTGATACGGAGGAGTCGAAAACAGCAGGTATACCTCCCCATTTGCGCTATAACGCATCTAAAATTCACTGCGCTGAGGCGAACGTACATGATAAGCGCGTGAAACGCAACGAAAAGTCACCCGCTGATGGATCCTTTTCGAAAGATCTTGAAAGATGAATCTCAACCTCATCCTGATAGAGCTCCATGGTAGTGAAGTAGAAAGGGAAGCGCTTTCGCGTCTTGAAAGCCCCTCACTACCCCCTCTTTTCTGGTGGCAGATCTGCGGTCAACTCGTGCCTTGGCTAATCCATAAAACATATAAGGAACTATTATTTCTACACTACGTGTTGGCCTACACGTTTACTGGGGCGTAACGGTTACCTGACAAATATCGTTGCGTTGCCCCCCCTCAGGATTTATCTCACCTTAAAATCAGCCTTTATTAGCCACAGAAGGTGCCAATTTAACAGACAAGTCAGCCTATCAATTTGTCTGCTGCGTGCGGGAGCAATACAGTATGCAAGCCGGGCGCGAAAGCTTGTGAGTGTTTCTACTCCAGTGAGGCAGAACTGGCGACCAAACCATTTTATTCGTCGCTATCGCACAAATCCGAGAGATGCAAAGTCATTTACTCACCTTTCAACCTCGGCAATCCAGACAAGCTCGCCGCAGTCGCCTTCAGACTTCTATCTTCATCCGTCACGAACTACGTATTCCCAAACTCGGACGTAGGTGTCGCCGTGGGTCAGTGGGCTTGAGCTCTAGTTCCTCGCGTTCTAATTCTTTGCGCCCAAACTGACGCCGTCGGCAGTCTCGAATTGCGGTCTCTACAGCCAAAGGATAGCCATTGCCCACCAATATCTAAGATGCTTCCCGATCTCCCACTGTCGATGCCTTCAA